TATGTCTCTACGAGGCTTTCAAGCAAGCCTCGTCGTGTAGCTCGGGGGGGCTGTTGAAGAAAACCTCCAGACATTAAAAATACCTCACAGCTCATTTAACTTAGAGCCGAGTCGCATGTCAAGGTTGCTTGTTACACATACCAGTTTGGTAAATGGTGGGGAGAGTAGAAGGGGGGACGGTTGGAGGGGAGGAGGTATATAAGGCAGTCGGCGCCTTTCACCGAGAACCACAACCAACATGAAGACCGAGGTGAGTAGAGCGCTTATACGCAGTTTACTTTTAGTCCTGGCGTATGTTCAGGGCTAAGGTATACTTGTTCAAGGCTAAGGTATACTCAGGAATACTAATGTACTAATACTGGTGTCTCGGGAAGTAATTATGGTAGCTTTTATACGCCTCTGGAGGTTGATATAGGCTTCAAGCCTAACCAAACAGCTCGCCGGAGCCCTTCCTCGCGCTCTTCTGAACGCTTCAAGCATTTTTATTCACTATTTTGGAACATGTTAGTTATTATAGCACTGCTGATGTTAGCCTCGGTAGTGGTGAGGTACGGGAATGTACTGCCAGGCACGACAGTGGTGAGGTACGGGAGGGTACTGCCAGGCACGACAGTGGTGAGGTACGGGAGGGTACTGCCAGGCACGACAGTGGTGAGGTACGGGAGGGTACTGCCAGGCACGACAGTGGTGAGGTACGGGAGGGTACTGCCAGGCACGACAGTGGTGAGGTACGGGAGGGTACTGCCAGGCACGACAGTGGTGAGGTACGGGAGGGTACTGCCAGGCACGACAGTGGTGAGGTACGGGAGGGTACTGCCAGGCACGACAGTGACATTTAACGATAAAAGAAAAACGTGTTATGTACACGTGCGCCAGGTTCGATGATGCATGAAACAGGTTGCTAATTTTATCACAGGCGTCGCCTCCACACACAGGTTATACCTTCACTCAGGTGTCGTGGGGGTCAGGCTCGTGTCTGTATGGGGGGGGGGAGTGGCCAAGGCTGGTGTCTGTACTGGGGGGGGGAGTGGCCAAGGCTGGTGTCTGTACTGGGGGGGGGGGAGTGGCCAAGGCTGGTGTCTGAACTGGGGGGGGGAGTGGCCAAGGCTGGTGTCTGTACTGAGGGGGGGGGAGTGGCCAAGGCTGGTGTCTGTACTGGGGGGGGGGGAGTGGCTAAGGCTGGTGTCTGTACTGGGGGGGGGGGGAGTGGCTAAGGCTGGTGTCTGTACTGGGGGGAAGTGGGCAAGGCTGGTGTCTGTACTGGGGGAGGAAAGTGGCAAAGGCTGGTGTCTACTGGGGAGTAGTGGCAAAGGCTGGTGTCTGTACTGGGGGGGGGAGTCTCCAAGGCTGGTGTCTGTACTGGGGGGGGAGTGCCAAAGGTTGGTGTCTGTACTGGGGGGGGAGTGGCAAAGGTTGGTGTCTGTACTGGGGGGGGGGAGTGGCAAAGGCTGATGTCTGTACTGGGGGGGGGTAAAGGCTCGTGTCTGTATAGGGGGGCAAGGCTCGTGTCTGTACTGGTGGGGGAGTGGCAAAGGCTGGTGTCTGTACTGGGGTGGGGGGGGGGGGTGGCCAAGGCTGGTGTCTGTATTGGGGGGGGGAGTGGGCAAGGCTGGTGTCTGTATTGGGGGGGGAGTGGGCAAGGCTGGTGTCTGTATTGGGGGGGGGAGTGGGCAAGGCTGGTGTCTGTATTGGGGGGGGGGAGTGGGCAAGGCTGGTGTCTGTATTGGGGGGGGGTGGCCAAGGCTGGTGTCTGTATTGGGGGGGCGAGTGGGCAAGGCTGGTGTCTGTATTGGGGGGGGGGGAGTGGGCAAGGCTGGTGTCTGTATTGGGGGGGGGAGTGGGCAAGGCTGGTGTCTGTATTGGGGGGGGGGAGTGGGCAAGGCTGGTGTCTATTGGGGGGTGGGTGGCCAAGGCTGGTGTCTGTACTGGGGGGGGGGGGGGGTCAAGGCTGGTGTCTGTACTGGGGGGGGGGTGGCCAAGGCTCGTGTCTATTGTGAGGGGGGGTGGCCAAGGCTCGTGTCTATTGTGGGGGGGGGTGGCCAAGGCTCGTGTCTATTGTGAGGGGGGGGTGGCCAAGGCTGGTGTCTGTATTGGGGGGGTGGCCAAGGCTGGTGTCTGTACTGGGGGGGGGTGGCCAAGGCTGGTGTCTGTACTGGGGGGGGGGTGGCCAAGGCTGGTGTCTGTATTGGGGGGGGGTGGCCAAGGCTCGTGTCTATTGTGAGGGGGGGGGTGGCCAAGGCTCGTGTCTATTGTGGGGGGGGGGTGGCCAAGGCTTGTGTCTGTATTGGGGGGGGTGGCCAAGGCTGGTGTCTATTGGGGGGGGGCAAGGCTCGTGTCTATTGTGAGGCGGGGGGTGGCCAAGGCTCGTGTCTATTGTGAGGGGGGGGGGGTGGCCAAGGCTCGTGTCTATTGTGGGGGGGGGGTGGCCAAGGCTCGTGTCTGTACTGGTGGAGGGGGGCCCAAGGCTCGTGTCTGTACTGGTGGGGGGGGGGAGGCCCAAGGCTCGTGTCTGTACTGGTGGGGGGGGGCCCAAGGTTCGTGTCTGTACTGGTGGGGGGGGCCCCCAAGGCTCGTGTCTGTACTGGTGGGGGGGGGGCCCCAAGGCTCGTGTCTGTACTGGTGGGGGGGGCCCAAGGCTCGTGTCTGTACTGGTGGGGGGGGCCCCAAGGCTCGTGTCTGTACTGGTGGGGGGGGCCCAAGGCTCGTGTCTGTACTGGTGGGGGGGGCCCCAAGGCTCGTGTCTGTACTGGTAGGGGGGGCCCAAGGCTCGTGTCTGTACTGGTGGGGGGGCCCCAAGGCTCGTGTCTGTACTGGTGGGGGGGGGCCCCAAGGCTCGTGTCTGTACTGGTGGGGGGGCCCCAAGGCTCGTGTCTGTACTGGTGGGGGGGGGGGCCAAGGCTCGTGTCTGTACTGGTGGGGGGGGGGCCCAAGGGTCGTGACTGTACTGGGGGGGGCCCAAGGTTCGTGTCTGTACTGGTGGGGGGGGGGCCCAAGGCTCGTGTCTGTACTGGGGGGGGCCCCAAGGTTCGTGTCTGTACTGGGGGGGGCAAGGCTCGTGTCTGTACTGGTGGGGGGGGGCCCAAGGCTCGTGTCTGTACTGGTGGGGGGGGAGCCCAAGGCTCGTGTCTGTACTGGTGGGGGGGGGCCCCAAGGCTCGTGTCTGTACTGGTGGGGGGGCCCCCAAGGCTCGTGTCTGTACTGGTGGGGGGGGCCAAGGCTCGTGTCTGTACTGGTGGGGGGGGGCCCCAAGGCTCGTGTCTGTACTGGTGGGGGGGGGCCCAAGGCTCGTGTCTGTACTGGTGGGGGGCGGCAAAGGTTCGTGTCTGTACTGGTGGGGGGGGGGCCCAAGGCTCGTGCCTGTACTGGGGGGGAGTGGCCAAGGCTCGTGTCTGTACTGGTGGGGGGGGGCCCCAAGGCTCGTGTCTGTACTGGGGGGGAGCGGCAAAGGTTCGTGTCTGTACTGGGGGGGGGGGAGTCGCCAATCACAAGTATTTTGTTTGTTTCTGCACGGACCCTCGCCTTCTGACTGTCCCACTATGTGTTACTGATACAAGTCTTACTCATGAGATGGATGAGTATTCATGACTCGAGGGGCCTCTGCCTCATTAAAATTATGTCCAGTCTGTTTGGCAACTTCCTCTGCACTGTTAAATTGTTTGAAATGTTATTTCGTGTGTAAATCTACACTGCATTAGATAATGTTTCAGTTTTATGTTAGGCAATTCTCCATTTCGCCTCTTCTTCTGGAGCCTTTAAGTTTATTATCCATGCATATGGATTTCCAGGCCTCGTGCCGTCTAAGTGGACTTTATTTCATGCCTTCCTCAGAATAAGTGGTTTGTAGTTTGTTGAATTTCTTGTACTAACAAGCAGATCCAGCTGTTTCTGCTGTTATTATCACTGCACATCTTCTGCAGTGCTCTAATTATTTTCTTAATCTACACTTGACTGTGTGGTACTGTTTGTAAATGTCTGCATTTCCCCTCTTAGCTGTAAGATTTGCAGTTTCATGTGCAATGTCATTCTCTGTTATTGCTACACTACTCGACACCCAGTGGATAATTATTCGCCGACCTTGGCATTTGAGTGTTAATGCTATATAACATTTGTGATGAGATGAATGTTGTTGCGTAAGTGTTCCTATTGCAAGACTTGTACGGCAGTTATTGAATGTGTGTGATAATGTGCGGTCAGTGATCAGCAAGAGCATGTTTCAAAGCCAGTATATCACTAGAGTTGAGCACACATTTGCGAGTCCCAACTCTCAAATCACCTGACCTATCTGTGTCTGTGTAATTACGTGAAACTGTCAGATAACAAGTTTTCTTCTATATCCATATGTGGAACGTTACATAGTAGATGGGGTCAGTCTGATTTTTACCTTGAAAAAACAGAATCTGAATGTCGTCTATCATCTGGTGCCTCGCCCCTTGTTGAACCTCTTCGTAATTACCTAAGTGTAGTTACAGGATGAGAGCTACGCTCGTGGTGTCCCGTCTTCCCAGCACTCTGTCATATAACGCTTTGAAACTATTGACGGTCTTGGCCTCCACCACCTTCTCACCTAACTTGTTCGTTAGCTTCCTGCTGTGTCAGTAGGGCCGACCCAAGCAGCAGTGTGCCGACTGCTGCAGCAACCTGTCCTCCTACAGTCTGTCCTCCTATAAAGAACGTCGCTTTTCGCTCGTATGCGTTACACAATGCCAAAAAATTTCGTACTAGAAAATGGAAGCTGCTCGCGAAAGTGACAGACTGTCCCTTTTACTGTTTTTTGGGTCCTCTGGTAGGTTAGGAGGGGACACTTTAAATTAACCGTTTTCTTGACAATGGGAAACGTTAGGAGGACGGGCTGGCCGCCGTGTGCAACAGCCGGTCTCAAGAAATCGGTCCGTTGGAAGTTTTGCCAGATAAGCTGCGTGAGAAGAGATTCGACGACCATGAGAACAGACCCGTTATTGCTGGGTTGCAGCATATGTGCGTGAGACGATGACTGCTTCAAGATGGTGGACGTGCCAGAAGACGACACCGATCTTCGTGCACCAAGCAAGGTGACAACGTTGGAGAAGTTGGCGGAAGAGGCCGTACCAGTGTGTCACAGTCGCATGGGGTCAAGGTGGAGTGGTCTACATGCATGTAGGTCCAGGCGAATAACTCGCCTGGCGCCGTGTCTGAAACGTCAGGTGAGGCGGACACCAGGAGCTTTACACTACAGTGGTTTGGTCTAAGAATAACCACATTCTCCTCTCAAATGTAACATGTAAGAATAGCTTGCAAACTTTAGGTAAACAATTTCTGTCCAATAAAGTGAAATGATTTCTTTAATCAACAGTAAACATACGGAACAGTTTACCTAAGGAAATGCGAATGAAACATTTCAAACTCTTTAAATCCGGACATAACTTTGCTTACATACACCATCATTAGTCTTCCTTTAAACCAACCCGTGTAGACCCAATGGTCTGTTGATGTTTGATTTGTTTAAACATTTGTATTGCTGACCAAACCACAACTTAGAAGCTGGAGAAGCGAAGAAGTTTCGCTTCGTCCTGGACCATTACAAAGTCTTGTCGTTTGGTCATTTCTTCAGCCCGTTATTGTGACATTGTCTGTACCATTTTAAGTCTTTTGTGCTATTACTACCTAGCTTTTTTGGCAAGTACAGAAGCAGCATGTTATATAAGCTTCAGTTAGACTGATTCAAGTGTTCTAACGGCACTACTTTTCCCCCAGGTGCTGTTGCTGTGTACAACGCTGGTGGCCGGGTTGTCCGCCACGGCTCCATCGGTATACCAAGCAGTCGAGGTCCAGCAACTCGGCCCAAGTACCTTCAGTTTAGACGACGACGTTCTCGACATCATCAACACCCTCTTGCCGGATATCTCCAAACTATTGCGAGACTTTAAGGCAAGAGCTTCCGACACCGCGCTCCACCAAGCAAAACGCTTCAAGGATCTTATAGAATTGTTTATCCCTCTGATCAGGAGGATGATCGAGTTCGAAGCAGAAGACGAAGGCCGAGCGGTCAGAGAGGAAGATCTTGAAATGCTAAAAAACGCAGAACTTGCCTTGTCATATCTGAATTTATTGGCAGAGTCTGAATTCAACTTTGAGGATCCTCCAGATATGGATATCGGAGAACACACTGACCTCCTGCTGCCAGACTATACACGAGAACCTGCAAATATCCAAGACATTACTATTCCAGAGGTTAAAATACCGGGGGTGACGATTCCTGATGTAGTTATCCCAGAAACTAACCTTCCAGGACTGAAAATGTCAGAAAAACGCATTACCATCCCAGATATAGAAGAAACAACAATTCCAAGACGCAGAATTCCTTTCGGAGCAAGGAATACTAGGCCTGGAGCAAGGAATACTAGGCCTGGAGCAAGGAATACCAGGCCTGGAGCAAGGAATACCAGGCCTGGAGCAAGGAATACCAGGCCTGGTAGAAAAGTGAACACTTCCGCGAGTAAAGACACAAGTATACCTGCATCCGACACCAAATCTTTAGAAGACATGCACACGGCAGCCACAAGCACCACGGCGGACCAATCACCAACATTTATCAGGTCTACTAGAACGACACTTCCAGGATTCTCGGTCAGTCGCCGAACTCCAGCCTCCAGAAAATTGAGACATCACAGTCCAGACTTATTATGAGGAGCCCAAAGATTCATTTTAGCTCAAGATGTATTTCATTGTGTATTTTATGGAATTAATTTTAAAGTCAAAATATATGAAGAAATTTAACTTAAAAAAACACTACCACTAGCAACTAGTGGTAGTGTCTACAGTAATTTAATACAAGTAAATCCTTCCATAAACACACAAAATATTCCTCCAGTTCTTTAACAAGTATATGTTGCTTCAGGGAACCTACGACTGAACTTTTATTTTAAAGACGTCTCCCAGGAAAGGCAAGGTGGCCTGGCGAGCGTGCAAGGGGTGAACAGTGTGTGATTAAGCAGCTCACACTTTGGTCTGGAAACGCCACCACAGCTCGCGTGATACAGGCAGCCTATCTACTTACAACAAGCCGGTGGACACATTGTTATACTTTAACAAACTAGCATATAATTTTATCTTCTCATTCACGAGAGATACAGTTTGATACAGACTGATACAGGGTCTGGTGTGTCCGTCAAAGGCAGAGAGACTCGCACCTCTGTTTCACTCCCTAGATGTCAAAGTACCTCACTGTAATATGCTGCCTCAGTACTTTTTTACCAATCCTTTAGTGTGTTGGTTATTATTGACTAAACCATAACACTTGTATTAACATCTTTACTCCTCTACCTCCGCTTCCTGTCATTCAAATTCCCAAAGCTGATATGACAGTTTTTTTGTATCACTTCATAAAAAGCCACTACATTTAAACCCCTTTGATCCTCAACCATCACCTCTTTTACTAGTCTTTCACCCAATTTCGCCGATATTCCTCGATCACGCTGTTCATGAAATAAGCTATTCTAAGGCTAAAACCAAAAGACTAAATAGTTAACTCTCTTAACATTGTATTCGAGAATACTAGAATACACACAACCCTTTTGTAATTTATTTTAACAAAACACTCCAGAGGGCAACTTTCGCTGCTCCTGGCCGGGGGCCCCCCGCTTCCTCCCCTCTCTTCGCCGGGGCCAACCGCGTCCTCCCCTCCCTTGGCCGGGCCCCCCCCCCCTGGCCGCTGGCAACAGTGGTACTAGAAAACGTTTTGTCATATACAAGAAAAAGAACGAAAAAGTTTGCAAGGAAATAACACGAATGTATTGGTGTAATGCCAAGCCGTTTGACCCGGAATTGTTCCAAAGAATATCATAGTACGTACAGCGACTATGGAAGGAATGTACAAATATGCACTGTTGCGAAGATAGTACAGTAGAAAATGTGAACTTGTTAGTTGTGTATAGCAACCGCGAAAGGGCACGTCGAGGCTGACCTGGTTAGTGAGATAGTGGCCTGAAGATAGTGAGGTGATGGTAGTTAGTGAGGATGGTGATGAAGGTGGTGGGTTACAGTGATGAAGGTGGTAGGATACAGTGATGAAGATGGTGGTTACAGTGATGAAGGTGGTGGTTACAGTGATGAAGGTGGTGGTTATAGTGATGAAAATGATTACATTGATGAAGATGGGGGTTACAGTGATGAAGGTGGTGGTTATAGTGATGAAAATGATTACATTGATGAAGATGGTGGTTACAGTGATGAAAATAGTGTGTAATAAAGATCCTTCGTCACCCGAGCAACGCCGGGTACCCAAGCTCGTTTTATATATATATATATATATATATATATATATATATATATATATATATATATATATATATATATATATATATATATATATATATATATATATTAGGCCTATGATTGCCCATTTAAGCCTATGAAAGACTTGACAGCAGCGGCAGCAGCTTGTACCTTTTAGTACACCAACAGTATAAAACTTGGAATATTTGAACGTACAACAGTACATATTTTGAACATCCCTCCCATAGTCGCTATTTGTAATATATATATATATATTTTTTTTTTTGCCAAAATAGGATGCCGCTTCACATTGACATGATGTTAAAGAATCCATATGATGCTAAAGATAAATTTGCACAAACTATTAATAATTTATTAATCATGGTAGTAGGCATCCATCAGTCTCAGGAGACTATGGAGTTGCGCTCTGGTTGTCGGTCTGGAGTGGCCTCTCCAGGGCGCAAAGCCAGGGTAGGTTGATACGGAGGAAAAGCTGTTACCCATGCAGCAAGTCCCCTCCCCTCTCAAGTAATGGGAGAGAGAGGGGGGGGGGGGGACCTGCAAGACCTTATGATTTATGTACATATAAATTAATCATATTTGAGATATAAATTATGTAAGTGTATCATCTCGCGGGAAATACCCAAATAAGGGTCTTTACCATTAAACTATTTCAAGTGAAAATGAACTTTTATTCGTTTTTCCTTAGTAAAAGCAGTCAGTTGACACTGGTTTGGCGGCAAGATGCGTCTCCAGAGGTCACTCCGCGGTCCAGGGCGCGTCTGTCTCCTCGCGAAATGTGCGGAACTCATCAAAAACTATCATTTTCTTCACACCGTAACTTTCACGGATAATTATAAAAGATAAATATGTATATCTGAATAAACTTTTCTTTGAATTACATATTGCCTTTAAATTTCACACACACACACACACGTACATATATATATATATGTATGTATGTATGTATGTGTGTGTGTGTGTGTGTGTGTGTGTGTGTGTGTGTGTGTGTGTGTGTGTGTGTGTGTGTGTGTGTGTGTGCGCGCGCAGGGGTCTGGTAGCTGAGCTGACAGCGCGCAGAACTCGTAATTCTGTGGCCCGGGTTCGATTCCCGGAGCAGGCAGCAACAAATGGCCAAAGTTTCTTTCACCTTGATGCCCCTGTTACCTAGCACTAAATAGCTACCAGGGAGTTACACAGCTATTACGGAGCTGCTTCCTTAGGGGGGGGGGATTAATTAGTTACAGTTGATTGACAGTTGAGAGGCGGGTCGAAAGAGCAGAGCTCAACCCCCGCAAGCACAACTAGGTGAATACACGCGCGCGCGCGCACGCTCGTTGCAGTAAGACAAACAAACAAATATGTTATGCAAGTCCTGTATATCTTTAATGTTTTTTTTAAATTAAAAATAATAATATTCGATTGTAACTCCTAAAACTAGTTTAATAAACCAGTAACAATGACCGGATCAAGGCTAACAGGCTTCGCATATATATTTATTTCTGCAGGGATATTCCTGCGCGGGCCCTAAGCCTCTGGCTGGCCCACTGGGCGGGCCCTAAGCCTCTGGCTGGCCCACTAAGTGTTGCTTGTTTCTGTTTTACTTGGGCGGAGTATGAGTATTTATGACTCGTATGGTCGCTTCAGTAAGATTTTGCCATATGTGTTTAACAACTTCTGCTCTGTTGAATCTAAGTTGAAATCTTATTGGGTTTGTAACTGTGCACTGTGTTAGATAATGTTCCAGCGGTCTGTCAGACTGTGCTGTACCGAGGGGTTGTACAGCAACACACACTTAAAACCATGCCAGCAGAGTACAGCACAGCAGAGTACAGCACAGCAGAGTACAGTACGCTCTCTATACAGTTAATAAGCAATTTTATGGCCTCTTGTGGGCGACCCGCAGGGCATGGATGCGAGGATACAAAGTGGTACGCATAAAAAATTAATAAACAGTTGGTAGCTAATTTTAAGCAAATCTTTGACAAATGTGGTGATCCGCCAAGGCTGTCCAGGAGGCCCAGGCTCTAAAGGGGAAAAAAGAGCATAAATCCATATTCAATGCCGGTGTCCGGCCATGAAGGAGACAAGACTGCAAGCTAAACACCCAGCCCACACACACACATCCACCCCCCCCGACACACACACAACACCCCCCCCCCCCACACACACACAACACCCCCCCCACACACACACACATCCACCCCCCCCCCCCACACACACATCCACCCCCCCCCCACACACACACATCCACCCCCCCCGACACACACACAACATCCCCCCCCCACACACACAACACCCCCCCCCCACACACACAACACCCCCCCCACACACACAACACCCCCACCCCCACACACACACATCCACCCCCACCACACACACACAACACCCCCCCCCCACACAACACCCCCCCACACACAACACCCCCCCCACACACACACACACACATCCACCCCCCACACACACATCCAACTCCCCCCCCCCCAACACACACACACACATCCACCCCCCCAACACACACACACATCCACCCCCCCCCCAACACACACACACATCCACCTCCCCCCCCACACACAAACACGCCCACCCGCCCCCCCCCACACACATCTTTGGCTGTTTGGATATGAAAAACACAAAACGTTTAAATATTTCAGGAGCCATCCTCCTCGACTACGACCCAAATTCTCGGCAGATATGCAACTTCAAGTTTCCATTACAACTAAAACTGGAAACTCTCAGCCGCCTCAATCTAGATAACAGCCAAGATGGAGCTAGGGGGGGGGGGGGTAGAAATAGCCTAAGCTACTCTATCCTTTTGAGATGTATTTCTTGCTTATCTCAATAAACATACTTGAACTTGAAAGATGGAGCTATATTTTACATCAAAGCTCTTATAAATAGTATAATCAATTTCCTCAGATCCTTACATTAAAATACTAAAGAATCCCGACTTAGAAAAATTGATATTTAATCAGTACATCTTCATCTATGATAATCACCTCAGTGGAAGAAAAAGGAACTCTTCGAATCAATATTTGTCATGTGCAGTTGAAGGCGGGTATTTGCGCTGTATAGCATGTTATCAGCGAAGAACAGCATCATCACAGGGAACAAGCACATGAACAGGAAAGAACGTCCATAGAACGAGCTATACCAGCAGATACCAAGCGAGAAAATAGTAGAGTGGGGGGGGGGGGAGTAGAGTTGGGGGGGGGAGTAGAGTTGGGGGGGGGGAGTAGAGTTGGGGGGGGGAGTAGACTTGCTGGGGGGGAGTAGACTTGCTGGGGGAAGAAATAGACTTGCTGGGGGGGGGGGAAGTAGACTTGCTGGGGGGGGAGTAGACTTGCTGGGGGGGGAGTAGACTTGCTGGGGGGGGAAGTAGACTTGCTGGGGGGGGGTGTTAGGGAGTAGAGTTGGGACCTTACACACCACCCACATGTACATAAAGTGTCAGCCACACCAGGCTTCTAACCTTAAATTGGCAAGTTTAAAAAAAAAACTAAAAACAAATGAAAATCTAAACAAATGAGAATAGTTTCGACGCCTCTGAATAACATTATTGAATTAGTAACGGGAATCTGGACACGAGTTAAAACATACACGAAACCGATCAAAACCTTTCCAGTGTGTAATACTAAGTAATAATAATAATTCATTGCGTTGGGGGACAGGCAGCCAGAGTGTATTCATACACGTTAGGTTTATATCCAGTTCGCCCTCCCCCCCCCAGGTCGCAACCCCACAACAAGCTGGCTGACTCTCGAGTACCTACTTACTGCTAGATGAACAGGTGCATTAGGTGATAGGAAAAACTGGAAAGATTTGTTTCCTGGAAAAGAAAGGAATATAACAGAACATTGGTGACAGAACGTTCTCCAATTATACGCGAATACAAGAACGAACAGTAACACCACACCACCCAGGATCGGACGATTCACATCTCATTCCGCACCCTTTCACCCCCCTTTCCCCCTCTCACCCCCCATTCCCTCTCTCTCACCCCCCCAATCCATGCAAGGATTGGGGGGGTGAGACCTTGCAAAAAAAAAAAAAAAAAAAAAAAAAAAAAAATATGCAAGGTCTTGCATTTTTAGGTAACAAAACACATTTTCAGTTCCAATTTATTGTAAAACTGTCATCAGCAAATTTCATGATGTGGTGTGAAATATTCTCGGTTACGTCACTGACGATGACGAAATGTCAATGACGAAAAGGGTTGGCAGCAGATTTAGGGACACCGCCTCCAGTTTTAACTGGAGGCGGTGAGATCTGTTAGATAAATCTGGAGGCGTTGAGAGAAAGAAATAACCGCAGAAGTGACCAGGACGAGCGCTAAACATTGGCTCCTTGGAGCAGTGAAAAATCAAAGTAGCAATAGTTCAAAGCTGTGAAAACACGGATCAATAGTCGTAGGTCATTAAATTTGACATAAAATAACATCACATTGAGTAACATTGTATTAGATTCTACTGAAGAACAGAGCGAGGAACAGAGATAGAGAAATATCTAAGGGCAAAGATGGACACAAGAGACTAGGGAGAACCTTTACCTTGCGATGATTTGGCGGCTCAGCGTCCCCGTGGCCTGGTCCTCGACCAGACGATCAGGTTCAGCAAATTCAGGACGAGGAGACATGAAAAAATCCATCAAAGACGGTGGAGAGGGTAGCTGTGGAGACCACAGGCATGCCGACGGGGGTCCCGCGAGGGAGGTGCGGACGAGGGAGGTGCGGTCGAGGGATCAGCTAACAAGATCAGCTGATCTTGTTACATAGATGAGAGAAGATGCAGGAACAAGGATGGAGACTGTGGGATGGACTGAAACCACCTTATCAGCTGGGGAAAAGGAGAAAGGAAAACCAGGTTTACGTTTCTAATAGACACAGGTGGAGTAGATCCAAGGTACCTTCACTGTCTCAGGTGGCAAAATAGAAAACGAGTGGACGACACAAGGATGGTCGATAGGAGAATAGGCATCAGTCTGGACGGTCATGCTTCGCAGAGTC